TCTCTTTGTCTCTTGTTTTACAACTGTTAAATAGGAATAACTCCACCCCTGCACCTGAAAAGGTGGCCGAGAAAACAGCTTCATTAATAGCCCTGAAGCACTCTGTGTTGAAGTGATGAGCACAACAAAGAATCCGTGAAGAAATGGAAAAGCAGTATATCAAAGCAGGCTCTGACCACAGGACAGTGATGAAGGTAATGCAGGCATCCCAGGGGGGGAACTTTCGTGGATCATGCAGTTATAGAGCCTATCATATTATGTGGCACAAGGGTGTAAATGCAGCATGCTTAAGGGAGCTAATTCTGGGATTTCCGTACTTTTGTGTGCTTGACTTTTACAGCCCTTGTCATTTATCAAACATTAGGGGTGTAAAGTACCTATTTTCTGTACATTGGTAGGTTGTGTCCAAAAAGGACTGAAAGTGTTGGTGTGATGGGTGTTTATTCTCTGTTAGGTGGGATGAATTTGGTGGGGCAACGCTTGAGCTCTCCTGCCACAACCTCACTCTCACACTCACCCAGCTCAGCTGAGGTGAAATTACCCTGGTGATCGAGACAAGCCATCCCGTCTGCCAGGGAAGTTGCCCACATCGCAGACAGGACCAACACATGCTGACAGAGTGGGACATGGCAAAAACTCGTCTGGTAGAGAGCAAGGATTTTGTTCAACACTACCATTCACTTAACATCTCTTAGCACAAAATTCCACACAAATGTCTTCAAACTCATGAGGAATGAGAAACAAATTGTTGCAATTGTCCAAATGTTGTAAGAAATTATTTGCATAAAATGCTGCATGCGAAGTAGAAACAACCTCGGTGGTTTACAGGAGGCTGAAGTTGGTAGCTGCTCTAGGTTGGATTTTTAAATAGCACCATGCACTGAATGGTCATGCAAACAAGACGGGTGAGATGGATGGGGTGAGATGCAGTTTCGAACGTTGCTGTTGTAAGCCTGCAGCAGGTGAGAGGGCTGGAGCAGCAGTTTTACAAGGACCTACCAACCACCTGTGCCGAGGAAGCCGTTGGGACAGGTGGGATGTAAGAACCTGTCTGGGCTTTGGAGGCAAAGGGACTGTCTGCAGTTAAGGCTGAGAAATGCCATGTGTGCTCTCAGGGCTCTGAGGACCCCATCTTAGTAGCTTTTTTTTAAGGAAAAAATTTCTTTATTTAAACCCTGGAAACATAACTAACCCATCTTAGAGGCAGGATTCAACCTGGACCATTTGCAACAGAGATTTATTCCCAGCCACTTCATAGGAAGGGGCTTGAATAACTTTCCTGAACTGTCCCTACCAAAGTCTTCCTAACCTCAGACCTGAACCTTTCCTGCTGCTGTTGGAGCCCAGGGCTTCTTACCCTGCACTAGTAGCACAGAAAACAGCTGACCACCCTTTCCATTACAGCATATCAAAGACTGCTCCTTCCTCCCCACCCACTTCCCGCCCCCAAGACTTCTCTTTTCTAAGCTAAATGGACCCAACTTCTTCACTCCTTTCTCTTAGCACAAGATTTCTGTGTGTTTATGCTTTGTATTGTTTTCTTCTGGACCTGGGATTTTGAATGGTCCTGGCCCTGCACAGGCAGCGCAGGGAAGTCAATCTCCTGTCTTGCACCCAGCACCCCAGGCCCCTTTGCGACACCTCCGCACTGCTGGTGAAGCTTCAGTTTATGATGCTCTGCAACCCCCAGATTTTTCCCTGCCATTCTGCTGCCCGGTCGGTTATTCCCCAGTTCTTTTGCCTACATCTCACTTTGCTTTACATTTGCATTTGTTCTTGCTGAACTGCATCTTGCTGATTTCAGACCATTTCTCTGGCAGTCAAGATCACACTAAGCCCAGCTTCTAGAGCCCCTGCAGCTAGTCTGTCCCAGAAAGAGCAGGACTCCCTTCAGCACTGCTGTTCTTCAGAAGAGACAAGCACAGAACAGGATGGCCCCATCCTTCCCCTAAAAAACTCTGGAAATAAGCCTGTTTCATCAAGCTGTCAATATGGCAGTAACTCGTGAGTTCATCCAGTGCCACTGACAGCAATTTCACAGCTACTGTGATTAAGATCAAGAAACCTAAATGATCCCAGAGAGAAAGTCAGGGGATGTTATTCATGGTGTAAATTTAGTCACCTAAATCAAGCACAGAGACTAGGAGGCTGGGTCCTGAGTCTCCCCCTGACAGCAGGAGAGAGGGAGAGCCTGGGGAGGGCCAGTGGTATACCAGCTCCCTGTGTTTTGCCTGGTCAGGGCAGCACCCGGAGAGCCACGTGCAGACACTGGTGGAACCACACTGATGATTTCTGCTGCTCTGGCTTGGGAGATTGCAGCTCTCTCTGGAGCAACAGCACAGGGCACTGCCTATGAGGAGGCAACAGGGGTCCTGCCCACCCCAGGGGAGTGCTGTGAAGACTCTGCCCACCCTCCCACCAGGAGACACTGGCTCATTTACAGCACACTTATTCATTGCTCATAAGTGACAGGGAATTCATTAGCATAGTAGCCAGCTTAATGGCGAGGAGTGTGTTTGGGCAAGGAGGGAAGAGGGATGCTCTCTTACTCCCACTCAGCAAGACCAAGTGTCCAAACCTTCTCCTGCAATATCACGCTCTTCTGAGATTTCTCCATCAGCTGTTAATAAAAGCCTAGCGGTGGGCAAAACAGGGTGCAACTCAAAACTTTCATCCTCGGATCAAAGAATAGCCTCTGCCATAGCTACGTTCTGGCTAGTTTTGCACTGACTGTCCAGTTCCTGCCAGGATACCCATTGTCCCTGCACCCCCTCCTGCCAACACATCCCCCGCCTTTCTGATCACCTCCCTTTAGCTGCTTGCTAGATACAAAAGGAGGGAATTCTGCTTATTTGCCCAGTAAAGGAACAAGGATATTTCTCCCTGAGTAAGGCGCTCCCTCTGTCCTGCCCTGAGCAATAGCAGCCTGTAGAGCAGAGCGGGCCAGGCAATCTCTGAGGCCCGCTGGCCAGCAGAGGAGTGTGGTTTTCCTCGGGAGAGCAGGAATCCAGAAGTGTGCTTGTGGAAAGGAAGTGCTGCACGGGGTTGCAGAGTTCAGAGGAAGTGTAGTGATGCAGTGAGCAAATGGATGCTTCAATGGTTGTGCTGCTAGCTGGTGCCTTGGGAGGCCTGAACTCAACTCCCCGCAAGCCCCTTGTCTCACCGCTGTCTTTGGCTGCTCCGTTCTTGGAGCCGGCTGTGCCAGAGGAGCTCTGCCTGCTACAGGGCTGCTGCACTGCCAAGAGATGGGGTTCCTCAGGGTGGTTCATGCCGAGCAAGCGAACCCTTGCAGACATGTTCGAAAGTGTAGAGGATGCAAGCATTTCCCTACAGCACGCTGAAAGAAAAAATACACTCAAGGCTGTGAAGTATAATAGGACCAAGGGTAGAGCACCAATGCTGCAGGGTATTTCTGAAGAGGAAAATGGGCCAAAACTGAGCAGTTTTGCTACTGGAGCTAGGCCAGGCGATTTCCCCGAGCCACCTAGCCTGTAGCCAGTCTCATGTGGTTCTTGCTTTTGGCCATGTTTGCCCTTGTGTTGGCTCTATGAGTGACAGGTCTGGGAAGAAATGTCGGCAATGCCCACACAAGTCTGCACGGTGCTCCAAGTGCATGCTCCTCTGCGTGTGTGCTTTCTGTGTTGCAATAAAGATGCAAACCCACAGTTGCCAGTACTTTTGCCCTAATGACAACTGCATCTCAAGTGCCCTTGCTGATGCCCTGCTGCTGAGACTTTCTCGCTGCTCCTGGTTGAGGCAGGAGAAACTCAACTAAAACACTAATATGCAACAAAAACCAGTAAGTAGGAACTGAAAATTGCTTCTTTCCACAGGAGTTGGTTACTGTGGATGGGTTCATGACTGTTTCTGTATCTGCTCCTCATGGCACATACAAGAACTTAGTTGCTCTGAAGATGTGTGCTCCTGTCTGTGGGTGGAGAGCCTGTTGGCGCATGGCCTCAGTTCATCTCGCTGGTCTGGTGACATGAGCAGATCAGAAAGAAAACAGCTCCCACTTTGGCACTCCCTGCTCCTGCACTGTCACCTCCAGAACCACTAGCATGGGGTACCCTGAGAGCACTCCTGAAGCACTGCTGTCCCCGGGGCTGCTTGCATGTCTTCAGTCTACTGAGGCTTGTATTAAGGATGGAAGTAGTCCCACACAGAACAGACCAGGGGAGAAGGAAAGGGATGCAAAGCAGCTTCTCTTTGCTGTCATCTGTGTGGGCCATGCTCAAGTTGGGCACTGGCAGAGGGAGAACAGCGAGGAGACAACCTCCGATGTACCATAACGCTCCCCATAGTCCTATCCCACATCTTCTACTGCCATCTGTGGTGAGAGGGGCTAGAGGGGAGCAGACAGGGAGTCAGGATCCCCACACAACAGTCATCCATCATCTGGAGTGTAGCCATGCTTGTACCATGGCATAGAGTGAGAATTAGGTGTCAGGATTAGCTTCTGGGTCCACAGACCATTTACAGCACTTTGATTTGTGTGTCAGGGTTGATATTCCCCTTACAGGCCAGTGGTGAGACATCAATAAATGTTTTAAAGTGCTAAAGAGCTTTGCCTTATAGAAAATACTAGTCCTACTAACACCATTCCAAATGTTCTATGATCCCAAGCCTTTCTTCTGAGGTGGGACTGGTGCTGTATCATATACATGTGAACCAACTGCACAAACAGTGTTTAGCAGCACCTGCAGGGGGTACCCGTCCCCTCCCCAGGACCCGCGTCAGTGGTGCCGGGGGTGGCAGGAGGGGGTGGGTGGGTTGTG